GTGATATTGAATGGTTTGCCTTGGAAATGAACAGAGATCATTCTGTCATTTTTGAGATTACATCCAAGTACTGCATTTTGGACTCTTTTGTTGACTATGATGGCTACTCCATTTCTTCTAAGGGATTCCTGTCCACAATAGTAGATATAATGGTCATCTGAGTTAAATTCACCCATTCCAGTCCATCTTAGTTCACTGATTCCTAGAATGTCGACATTCACTCTTGTCATCTCCTGTTTGACCACTTCCAATTTGCCTTGGTTCGTGGACCTAACATTCCAGGTTCCTATGCAATATTGCTCTTTACAGCATTGAATCTTGCTTCTATCACCAGTCCCATTCACAACTGGGGGTTATTTTTCCTTTGGCTCCATCCCTTCATTCTTTCTGGAGTTATTTCTCCACTGATCTCCAGTAACATATTGGGCACCTACTGACCTGGGGAGTTCATCTTTCAGTGTCCTATCTATTTTGCCTTTTCATGCTGTTCATAGGTTCTCAAGACAAGAATACTGAAGTGGTTTGTCATTCCCTTCTCCAGTAGACCACATTCTATCAGACCTCTCCACCCATGACCCGTCCATCTTGGGTGACCCCATATGGCATAGCTTAGTTTCATTGAGTTAGACAATGCTGTGGTCCATGTGATCAGATTGACTAGCTGTCCATGACTGTAGTTTCAGTCTGTCTGCCCCCGATCCCCTCTCTCAGTGCCTACCGTCTTACCTGCGTTTCTCTTACCTTGGACATGGGGTCTCTCTTCATGGCTGCTCCAGCAAAGAGACCATTCTACAATTAAAAAGGACTCCCACTGCCACAAGGAGGGTGTAGCCTCCTGCACATCACAACTAGAAAAATGTCCCTGCACATCCCTGCTAGAGAAGAATCACCCCAAGACAACTCGAGAGGAGGCACCACTGCAAGTTGAGAAGAATATTGAGTAACCCAACAACTCTAGAGGAACCCCGAGTTCCCTGCCACAGCTCGAGTGGAACCCTGAGTCCCACACTGCAACTTGAAAGGAACACCGACTTCCCTGCTGCAACTTGAGACTAGGCTCAACTCCCCTG